GCAGGAATGAATGGTCAGGTTTCTGAGCAGGTAGGCAGATGCTATTAGCAATCTATAATTATGCATTGTACAGCTCCAAGCACAGTGTGTCCCAATTTGTGACTGGGGCTCCTAGTCATTATGGTAATACAAATAATTAAGAATAATTTAATATTATCTGTTCTCATCTGCATGCTAAAGTCTTCCTCAACTAAGAAAATGAGATATGGTATTATTGTAGTAACTTGTTATGCTGAAGGATGTAATTGGCTGCCAACACTAGGGTTTTGTTCCAAAGCAATCACAGGTCTCATTAAAGCCAATAGGCACAGGCTCGATAGATGAAACAATCAGATCCATTTGTGCCCCTTCTCCCCATAACAGGCAACGTGGCAACTCCAAGCTAAACTAGGAAACTGAGCAGTTTTCCTAGTTGGAAACACAGGAGGCAGACAACAGACTGTATACAATGAAGGCAGAAAGCCGGGAGTAGAAGAAGCATGAACCTGAAAGGAAGCAGAGAGAGACAGCTTATGGGCACAGAGCTTGGTGGAGACCCATATTTGGGCAAAAAAAAAAATACTTGGGCATATTCTGAGCCAGAAAAATGTTGTTCGTTTCTACTCTGCTCATGAAACAACGTTTTGTATATATATTTATATATAAAAGAAGATTATTTGTGAACAATCAATTTTCCATTCAAATGGCAATAATCCTTCCAGGCCTTGATAAACTGGTCAATTGCTCAGGTCAAATGGGAAACATGGAGAATTTGGCAATTTGAAGTGCTCCCTGCATCTCCCTGGGCTCTAGGAAGCTCTACTCCTGTTTTTCTGGGCTCTAAGAGACGAGAAAGATTTTGCAGGGGTGGGCAGGTTTGCTGTTCTGGGAGAGGTAGAGAGGTGGTGACTGAATGTGGTTAAGGCAAGGCAGTTTTTCTGGGCACAATGCTTCATAGTGGTTAAAGCAGCTACTGGATTTGCTGAGGTGGGATGGACTAGTAGCAGAAAATTGCTTGGGACTAGGCAGTTTGTGGTGGGAGTAAGGTAGAGTTGGTGCACAATATGCACACAAACAAAAACAACAGGAAAGAAGCATTTTAAATAACTGTATTAATACTGTAATACTGTCAGAAATCGACAAACACGGCAAAGCTTTATGTAGGAATACAACATGGCCCCTTTTACTGGAGCATGCAAGTACCTCACAGTCCTTAACATGATTCATCCTCACAACACTCCTGACCCCATTTACTGATTGGAATTGTTAAAATAAGTAACTTTCCCAAGATCCCCAAAGGAGCCTGAGGCAGAGCAAGGAATGAAACTTGGGTCTCCTAAGACAGAATAGTGCCCAAGTTACTGGACCCACTTTACACTTACATCCCTACATCCATAGCAGCATCTGCAAATTCCTCTTCATGAGAACAATTAGCAAAGAGCTCCTAGAGCATGTCAACAGTAGGGGTGTGCAAAGTGGGCCCTATTCAATTTGGATTCGGCCCAAATCAGGGACAGTGATTCAATTCTATCAGCTGCAGGGGGATCCCAGGGCCCCTCCAGACCCAGGAGGCACCAGTTGCCGAGCTGGGGGCGCGTGGGGGGGTGGGCCCTGTGTGCTCCCTGGAGGACCCGGAAGTGGACTGGAAGTGCTTCTGGTCCACTTCCAGGTCTGCTGTCGAGCACGCTGGGGAGCCCAGCGCACTTCTGTGGGACGCTCCATGTACCTCAGCATCACAGCATTCATGAGCCCCTGCTACCTAGAGGTACATAGAAAAAACATTTAAAGCTGTCTCTGTCCGAATCTCCGAATCTTTCCGAATCTCTCTGAACTGATTTGGAGGGTTTTGATTTGATTCAGAGAGATAAAAAGGGTCCTCTGATTCGACTCCGATTCAGAGATTTGGCCACCGAATCGGGCCGAATCTCCACTGAATCAAATCAGGGACCAAAGCTTCACACAGCCCTAGTGAACAGCAACTCAGGAGTATCACACAGATGTCAACAACTTCTTAGTATGCATAGAAGTGAACATAGAACTAGAACTATGGAAAAAACAATCCAGTATGTAACCTAATGCCAGTTTTAAGTGTTTACTATATTGCTAGTAATAAAATAAGTAAAAAAAAAAAGTATTTTTTTTTAACCGCACAATATCCTTTTAATAGATGTTGTTTTTGCTGGTATCTTGGCTACTTGTCTCAGAGATGTACTGGGCTTGCATCTGAATTGTCAGGATCAGTTTGATCTTTGGCGAAGTTGATGAAAACCTAAAAATTTGAAGGAAAAAATATGCTATATGAAATATCTTAAGAAACAGAGGAAAAATGAGGAGGTTTATATGATCTGAATCCCTCAAAGGGATGTTTGGGAATGGATTCTACATTTGGGCTGAGATTGCCCAGAGGAATATTTAAGCAAGGTAGGCATATGGTATATGGGTACTTGTGTATCTTGGATTGCTTTGAAAATTCCAGTCTGAAAGCACATTTTATAGTCATACATAGATTATAAAAGTGAACACTGTATGTGTGCGTGTTATAGGTGTATGTACATATAGGGGTACATATAGGGGTACACGCACTTACATGTAACATGCAATATTCACTATTAGAATCTAGCTGCGCACACACACACACACACACACACACTTTCTTACACATTTACGTGACAATACCCCCACTTACATTTATATGTGACACACGTAATATTCTTCATTAGCTTATTAACAGGATCTCTCTCTCACACAAACACACACAATATTCTCTATTACAAGACTATCTAAAGTTACAGGTCAATATTTTCTATTTCTACCTTGCACTATTTCAGTGATATAAAGGGGCTGGACAGTCAGCCTATTGGGTCCCTATTTTAGGGGAATCCAGAGAAGGGCCAAGGTAATGCTAGGGATATGACTGCAAAGTCTATTGCTCCAGATATCTCTGGTCATTGTGATGGTCTCTAGGGACATCTATAAATGTGCTCCAGGATGGTGTGGGGGGAGAGGCACTTTAAGTAGAGAGGCTCCAAAAGCCACTCTAATTAAAGCGCCTGCACCATTATGTGCATTGAGTGTCCTGTGCTTCAAAATGGTGGTGGAGGTGCTTGAATTAAAACTCATTCGATGAGCTTTAGTTCAAGTGCCCCCACCACCATTTTGAAGTGCAAGGATGTTGAATAGATGCAGCACAGACGCTGCTGGGGTGCATTAATTAACACACTCCAGCAGACTTGATTAATCAAGTCTGCTCCAACTTGTGGTAATTAGCACACATTGGAGCAGACATCCAGCATGTGTATAGGTGCCCCTTATGGAGCCAGAGCTTCAGCTGACCAACATTGGCATAGCTTTACTGAAGCCTATGGAATTATCTTAGTTTACATCAGAGGATGATTTGGCTTACAGAGACAAAAATGAGCATGGAAACTAAAGAGACAAACACTGGGAGAAAGGGAATATTATTAGTGTGGGAATATTATAATGGGATAGCAAGGCACAGTGGGATTGAATAATTTGTCCCAAATTGCAAAGAAAGTGTATGACTGAGTCAGGATTTGAACCCAAATCACATAGGACCTAAATCAGAAGACCAAATTTCACCTTTTCAAATGCAGTTGTAATCCTGCCTTTGTTTATACCCATGCAGACCTACTGAAATCAACAGTATTGCACAGAGTGAACAAGGGCAGAATATATCCTTTGTACCACTTACAGCTTTGCATGTGCATCTTCCTACCTCTGTTGTACCTATCCAGACACTGTCATATAATGTTGCTAAGCTGCACACACAAGTGGATACATACAGCAGGAATCCAAATTAAAATCTCTTTCAAAAGGTGGTCCATTATGTATAGTAACCAGCCTGCTCCACATTTATAATTTGAAATGGATCATCACATATTTTTTATTTCTTACCTCCTCTAGAGTTGTTTGACTCACTGAGAAGTGCCTGATTTTGAAGGCTGTTTTGTTGTTTTCCAGGAGTTCAAATATATTTGCTACTCCACCTGCAGTGACTGGCACATGATATTCCACCATGCTGAAATGCTGATCCTGAAGGAACAAGAATTAGGTAAAGGCACTGAAGCCTGTAGAGGGTTAACAAGTGGTCACTCGCCTGTTCAGGCAGAGTATAAAGGAAAGAAAAAGCTGACCCAAAGGGGGCCTAAAGGGAAGGAAATATTTTCTCCCCTTCTGGCTGAGAAAAAGCCTATTAGCTGTTATTGACCAGTGTTTTTCCACTGAGTTGCTTTCTGTTTTAGTGGCAGTTTGGCAGATAATAAACATTTTCTTCCCCTGGTGAAACTACTTGTCAGCTTGCATATTAGTTGGTTCATATTGTAATATACATAAAACTAGTGAATTGGACTCCTTGTGTGGGCGGGCTCTTGCAAGATTGGACATCTGCTCTGTATGCTCACTGTAACATTTTGGCTGAGATTATTAAAATCAGCTAGAAACGGTGGATGCCCAGATCCCCATTAAAATTAATTGCACCCATATCCCTTGGGCAGTTTTCTAAACCTCAGCCATGCCTCTGTTATGAACAATGAAGTTATTTGTGTGTATAAATCACTTAAGTTTTGAGAGCACAGACCCTTAACACATGGAGGCACTTGCTGAGTAAAAGCTACATACATATAAGGCAGTCACTTTGAATACCAAAGAGACTGAGGTGGATCTCGTTTTCAGGCCCTCCTGCTTCTGGTCTGGTCTGGTCTGGTCTAGTTTATCCTGCTTACCTTTAGGCATGTATTTGGAAAATGTGATTGCATGAACTGCGTCAGAGCCTGTGTGTTGACTCTACTGCTCTTCAAATGCATCTTCACAGTGAATCCGCTTCCAAACCTAGAAAGAAAATCAGAATATCCACTGTACAGCAGTTTCAGAAAAGCATGCAGAAGTCAAACAGCTGCTCTGAAAGTTCTCATGAACCTAATCCATTCCTGGTGCCACTCCATTGAGGTGAATGGTGGATGAGGCTGGGGATGAACCTGGATAAGGATTTATGAACCTGGATAAGAAATTAATCCTTAAATTCATCATTATCATTCTTTACCTTCTAAATTAACAATGGCCAAGATACTTGGTAATCTGTGTTATGGGAACATATCTTCTAAACTTTGAACCAAGAGTTGTTGCAGAAAGGAAATGCATTACGAATCAAAGAATCTCTGGTTTGGTAAGAACAGAAAAAAATTGCTTTCAGTGATATCTCTGGTTTATTACATGACTGGAGTTCATAAAGCCAGGCAATTAGCTGATACAAGGCAGCATGCTTCAATTGACTTCAATGGAGCTACATTGCTTTACAAGAGCTGCTGATCTGCTTTTATATGTAGATACATTTACTGACCTGCTCTTGATATGCTGCAGTGAGCCAATGCATTGAAAACTTCCATTCACCATAATAGCCAGCCTGGTACAGAGAGCTTCACATTCTTCCATGCTGAAAAGCCAATAGAAAAACTCTATAGAATCATTGAGCTGGAATAAAATAATCTCTAACGGTCAGAGAATTACTGGCTTCCTGGGCTAATTGGGGAATTAACCTGTAACTTTTTATTCTAATCATTACAACCTCAAACCTCTAGCCAGCTTGTTCCACAGGGAGTAGGCCCTTCAATACAATTCAGTCACACATGTTCACTAAGTGGGCAGTACTTCCTGATGGATCTTTTTGTATTTTACTCAGGGCACACACAAACTGCATAATTCCGATCCAAATTAGTTCAGTGTTCTTATGAACAAAGATTAGCATTCATGCTATTATACAAGCTCTGTGAAATCTGAATCTGGGGTCCAATTTCAATGCCTCCATAGTTCTAGGAACTTCAACATAGAGTTTGAATTTGGATCACTCCATAGCTGTTACATCCCCTTAGATCAAAAAAGGGAGCCCATGCACTGTACCTGTGGGAAGTGAGTATCACTGAACACTTGTTCTGTACTTCTTCAGTGATGATTTTCCAGAGGTGGCGTTTAGCTTTAGGATCCATCCCAGAGCTTGGTTCATCCTTTAAAAAGGATTGATTGCAAGGTTAAAGAATAAAAAAAGAAAAGTCTGCTCATCATATCTACTCTCTGTCTATGGTGATCATTACATCCACTATGAACTCTCCCACTGCTTAGCCATTATATACAATAGTATTATGAATAGTATGGTGATAGTGTCTAAGACTGAGGCCCCAGTACAAACATACTAAAAGGTGATCCCTTCCCTAAAGAGCTTACAAGCTGTACCGATGAGACTGTGTAGAAGGGAAGTAGAGACACAGAGAGGTGAAATGACTTATTCAAGTCACACAGTAGGTCAATGTCAAAGCCTGGAGTAGGACGCAGGTCACTCAATGCCCAGTTTAGTGCCCTATCCACATTTAAGAAACTTATCTGAACATGTTCATTTACAAACATTTGGGCTGGCTTGGGGATTTGGAAGCCTAATTCCTATTCGTGTTACTATACTAATGTGACTATCTCATGCTTAGTTTCCCAAAAGCAAAATTGTAAGCCTCCATCTATATAGGCAATGTTACACTTCCATGAAAAATAGCTATTCTCTGTAAATATGATCAAAAGCAATGCTATCAAATGGTCACTTTGTCTCCGCAGACCTCTGACTTCAGAGTAATTATCTACCTCATTTACTGAGGTGGCAAATTGTCTGCTTTCAGATTTACATAATACAATATGTAATACATATACAATACATTATGCTTTGTCCCATCTTATGCTTTGTTGACAAAACTATGAGCCAAGTTTTGATTGTATAATTGTTATAGTTGGTAACAATGAAGCTGAAAGATAACAACTTCATATTGTAAAAGTAGGTTGATTGTGCCATCTCATCTCGTGTTGAGATTTTATACCCAAGAGAAGCCACAGGACTCATACATGGTTAGAAGGAAATTCGCATATGTAGCTCCAGATCTTCAGTTTATATAAAATTGGAGCTGTGTGATTTACACCAATGGGGATAAGTTACCATCCCGGAAAACAGCTGATCAGAAAATATCATGGGGTACATACACATGTTCTGGGAGGTTAGATCATGATAAAAATGGCCACTTCATCTAACTTAGTTTGCCCAGATGTGGATCTAAGTGTGAACTATACATAAATTCAAGAAAGTTAGATTGGTCTAAAACAGCCAATCTGATCTAATTTAACCTGACCTTGGAGGTAGTCTAACTTAGATCCGGTCCACCAAGACCAATCAAACTGAACTTCTGAACAGTTCCCAGTGCAGCCCCAGGGCTGGAAAAACTCAGCCACTGACCCCAGCCCTGGGGGCTGTACTTTTTCTACCCACCCCATCTGGCAGTAGACTATTTTTAGCTTACCAGTGCTTACCCCCAACCCCAGATGGACAACCGCCCCACTGCAGACCAACCAGCCATCACCTCCCCCCAACCAGAACATCTGAGGATCTTCAAATGAGCCTGTTGTTGTTCCTGTGTTGGACTTCAACCTTCTTAGCTTCCTTCTTTTTCCTTTTGCTGAGCCCTCTAGCCTGTAGAAGGTTGAAGTCCAACGCAGGAATAACAACAGGCTCATTTGAAGATCCTCAGGCAGGCTCCCTCCTAATTAAGTTTAACAACAAAGGTATGGTGGGAAAAACCAGGAAGTGAGGGGGCACCTGAAGAGCTAGAGCTGGGGCAGGAACTGCATGGCCACCAGGGGGTGTTGTGGCTGCCCCTGGAGCATGAACCTGCTACAGATGGGAAATTGCATAGTTTATCAAAAAGATGATTGAGAAGTGACTTGATTACAGTGATAAATAGACTCTGGGATAGAACAAATTGGGTTTTAGAGGGATCTTAATCTATCAGAGAATGTTACAACAAGAACAAATGGATGAAAGTTAAAACCAGATACATTCAAATGAAACATGAGACACATTTTCCACAGTGAGGGTGACTACCCATCACTGGGACAAACTAACAGGGGAAGCAGTGGATCCTTTTTCTCTCGATCTTCAAATCTACTGGTTCTTTAGTCAACCACACAAGTTACTGGTGTCACTCTAGGGGTACTGGGAGAAATTCTTTAGTCTCTAATGCAGAAGGTCAGACTGGGTGATTCCTTCTGGTCCATGAATATTTTCCCCTAACAAGCCATCATATTTCTTACCAGCAACAGGATTGAGGGATTTCCAATAAGGGCCAGAGCTGTTGATAATTTTCTGTTGGTGCCATAGCTGCATAAACAACTGACTTTGTCTTTATAGGGCATCAGATTAAGCCTATAAAGAAGCTGAAGTGCAACCTGTGGGAAGACATAATAATTAAAAAAAATAACCCCAAACTTGTGGTTTACTTTCAGAATAAGATCAGCCATATAACAGCCAGAAGAATTTGCCTATATTTCAGGATCCAGTCCTCAGCTAGAATAAACTATCATAATGCCACTGACTTCTACAAAGCTGTGCTGATTTGCATCAGCTGAGGATAAAGCCTTCATCTCTGATTATGATACCATAATTACATTTCTTCTTAAATAGCTGTTTGCTGCAAGGAAGGTTCTTGCTGAAAAAAAAAAAGACTGAAGTAGGGACACAGCCTTCAAATAGCTGTAAAAGTCCCTGTTTAAATATATAGCAATTTAGGTTGCTTGCAGACATGGGGGAAAAATAGCATTTTATCAAAAGAGGAAGCATATTAGTTCAACCTGGCTCCACAGCATCTGTATAGATAGGGCACTTCAGCAGGGATTTTTGGTGCTTTTATCTAAAACTGATTCAATCAAAAGGCCAAAAAGCCTCACTGAGGCACCCAATTAATATAGGTATTGGGTGAGCCGGGTCAAGCTAAGGTGATGCCTGTCCTGGGTATGTGCTGCACTTGGTGTGGGGATGTGCTGAGCTTAAAGTAAAGCACCTTTTTTTGTTTTGTTTTGTTTCACATCTGTAAGCAGCATTAGTGCTCGCACAGAGATATCTTGAGATAAATACTTGGGATTTAAGGCACATCTATTAAAAAGTACTTTATGAATCCCTATTTTACCTCTTCAGCTAGGGCTTGAACCTGCAGATACTTATTACTAAGGAGAGTTCATGGATTCCAGCATCTAAAGAAGTGAATGGAAATTTTCCTAATGATGGGAGTCTAATTTTAAGAGCAAGACTTAAGGCAGTAAGCATCATGCACAGTATTAAGCACTTATAGTATCAGACTCTTAATGCAGCAGTTTTCAACCTGTTGCATATAATGACCCAACGTCTCACAAGAGACAAGTTTCATGACTTCCCAACATATAAGGGAGCCCCAGGTTGGAAAGTAATTCCTTAATGTTACTGGCAATCTCATTGTTTATTACAGACACTGTGCTTTATCCAAGATCACTAAAGCCAATGAAAAGACGCTGCTGACTTGAATGAGATTTGAATTAAGCCCTAGTGGAACACTGTCAGTTTAATGGGTATACTCACTCCTTTAATATGTTTCTCTGGGATGCCATGCAGCCTGGCATAGTAGTACACGTGCTCTTCCACTGTTAGCAAGTCATCCAAGGCATCTTCTTGAGGGCAGTATCCAAACAGTGACCAGTGTGTTTCATCAATATCACTTAGGGATCTAGATTGGAAAGTCAAAAGTCATTCTAAACCCTCACAAATCTTCTACATACCCAATTAATCATGAAGGAAGGGGAACATGTGTTCTCTTGTGGTGGGGGAATGCTCTGAGTTTATAGATTGTAGAGCTCTGCTGTTCTTAGTTCCAAGTTAGGGCCCAAATATTCACAATGAGTAGGGTGCTACTCTACATATACATCTAGCGATTGAGGTGGACTGGCTTTCACAGGCTTTATTTCAAAAGTTCTTTAGTCCATGATTAGTGTTGCTAAATTCAAAGGGACTAACAAGGGAGTATGACAGTAGTCAGTATGAGTATGGCCCCTGACAGACCTTCACTTTAAGACGCAATGGGATCTCATCCTTGATCACAACCATCGCGTGTCCTGTCATGCCACATGTGCACAGCAGAAAACATGATGTTGGGACTGGGGATTAGATCCTGATCCCACTTTACTTGCTGGTGCAGGGGGAGCCCCAGCCAAAAAGATGAAGGCAATCAACTCATTGTCAACTGGGGCCAGGAAAAAAACAAGCAGCTCTGTAAAACTGTGTACACCATGCAACTGTGAGGTATACATGGTTTCGACAGGTCTCAGAGCGTGAGGATCTCAGCATCAGTACAGAGAGCTATAAAACTCTGTGTGCCCCCCAGCTGGACTATACAAGGGGTTTATACAGATCCTGGTGCACGGGTAGCCTGGAATCAGGCTGCTGCAGCCTGAAGCCTGGTGCCCTGTGCATGAGGAGCCATAAAACCATGTGGGTCACCCACCTGGGCAGCATACAGGGTTTACACAGCTTCCCATACACCAGGACCTGTTAAAACCCTGTGTGCCACCCAGCTGGCCAGCACGTGGGGTTTTGACAGGTCCTGACCACGTATTTAATTTAAGGCAAGATACAAATGAACCGTAAAGTTATTGCACAGTTAATGGAATGTGCTTCATTTGCTGCATTATCATGCTTTAAACTGAGTTGCACACATGGCTGGGTTACTATTTAAGGTGCAATAAACCTGTTAATTGTGTCTTGCATGTAATATGTATCAGGGGTTTAAGAGTACCAGAATCAGACTCTTAGCTGCTGAAGCCCTGATTCAGATTTCACTTACAGTGGTGTTAAATCAGTGACAGAACAAAAATTTGCATCAGTCAAGTAAAACGCAAGCCTGGAGGAAGTAAGTTATGTTTTCAAATAGCTGAATTACCCACCTTCTTTGCATGCAGTCTCTTTTGCCTGTTTAAATCTTTTAAATTTGTTTTATTGATTTCTCTGACCAAGGGGCCAATGACAAATTATAATTGTTTTCTGAACTGACTTACTCATGCTTCATTTTCAGAAATCTAATGCTCCATACCCAGTTTGATCCTGGATCAGCAATCTTCCTCTAGAAGGTCCGATGTCTCCTGTCAGCATCTTAAAGATCGTTGTCTTTCCAGCACCATTGACACCAAGCAGGCCGAAGCACTGATTTTCAAGAAAGAAGAGCAGACATTTAGCCACATTATATTTACAGTGTAGAAATATTGCCTTGAGAGGGATGCTTAGTGCAATTTGTC